TTGGCAGTTAATTTGCATATCTCGCTGATTAGCCAATGGGAAGTGTAGTGAAGTTACGGTTAATTACCATGTTTCTCTATTATTAGATAGGATATGGTCTTTGTTCTGAGGAGCTCAGCCAAGTAGGGAAGATGAGACTGTTCACACAGCAAAAGGATACAGGATAATAGGTGATAAGTCAATTAAATGTGATGGCAATGGGCAACAGGAATGCAGAGAAGGTGTCAGTCAGGAGATGGGATAGACTATGTGTAGGAGCTGTGCTGAGAGCAGAAAGGAGACTGAGTCAGCAGAAGGAATTCACACAGAAGAGACGTGCTGGCAGTTCTAAAGGTTGAGGTAGGCAGAGGGTGAGCAGAACAGCTCCGCCAGTGAGGTAGACTTGTGTGGTCAGCTGTGGGAGTCTGGCAAGGGATGAGGCACAAGCGCTAGCTTGATGAAATACTGTTTTAGGTCACTTTTTCTGCTTTGAATAAGGCGGGCAGGGGAGATAGCCTTTCGGGTTTGATCTGCCCTTGAAGAGCAGGACTGTATCTAAAATTTCTGCTACCAGTCTGTCTTCTCATGCCTCCCAAAGCAACAAAGGGGGAGGAAGGAGACTGACCCCTCTGCATGTCTGTCTTTCCTCTAGTGCCTCAGACCAAGAAGCTGCAGCGCATGGTACTGAATTCAACCATTCTGGTGATTCAGGAGGACCTCAAACCAGTGAGCAGAATGGCAGAATGTTGGGGCTGGGAGGGCAATTGCTGTTTTGAGAACTTGAGGTGTGGTAAGATGGAGAGGGGAAGGTTTGGGGGAATGAAGAGAGAGGTAAGGCCCCCTTGCCAATCTAGTTCTGGCCTCAGACTTCTGCCCATGCGTTACATTTGGGCTTGTCAAAACCTGAGAAAGGTTTGAGAAGTGAACAGGTGGTTGCTTCCTATTTTCTGAGCCTTTTCTGTGGGCAATACTGTGGTGAGCCCAGTAGGGACATGGAGCTCTGAAAGATATTAATTTTGCCCCCGGAGAATTCACAGTTTGCTTAGGGAGAGAAGTCCTGAAACATCACATCTTGCATGTGGTCTGAGAAGATATATATATTATCAATATATGCTTATCTTTTCTTTATATATATAT